GTAATTGTCAACGATGGTTCAACAAATTTCGTTCAGGTGACTTTAGCATTAAAAACTGTGATGGCAGGGACCGACGTGTTGGATTGATATTGATGCTCTGAAGACGCTTTGTTGTAGTCTAACCCAAAGCAACACTCATGAAATGGCCCTGAAATTACATGCTAAGCATGAAACAATACGTAAACATCTAAGAAATATGGGAAAACTCCATAAAGAAGGTGCTTGGGTGCCTCACGAACTCTCCGATGATCACCGTTTCGAACGTGTGAACGTTGCTTCTTCTCTTCTGGCTCGTAATGCGCGTGAACCATTTTTGGACAGAATTGTCACTGATGATGAAAAATGGATTCTATATGCGAATATTAAACGCCAAAAATAATGGCTCAGTCCTAGACAAAAACCACTTCCGACCCCCAAACCTGGACTACATCAGCAGAAAGTGATGATTTGCATTTGGTGGAACATCAAAGGAGTAATTCATTTCAAACTCCTCAATCCACAGCGAACTGTCAGTTCAGAGATCTATAGTTAGCAACTGGAATGTTTAAATCAAGCCCTTCATCAGAAACGCCCTTTATTCGTCGATCATAAAAGTGTTCTTCTCCACGACAATGCACGTACACATGTAGCTCGTTTGACGAAACACAAGATTATGGAGTTTGGTTGGAAAGTTCTCCCCCACCCACCATATTCCCCAGATATGGCACCATCAAATTACAATCTTTTTCGTTCGCTGCAACACCATCTTAATGGGAAAACGTATGCAAATGTGGAAGGTGTTAATTAAAGAGGACATCGACATGTTTTTTGCTTCAAAGCCAAGTGATTTCTTTAATCAGGGCATTAACAACCAGATTGTAAAATGGAAAAGCATCGCCGATAAGAATGGAGACTATTTCATTTAATAAATGTTTTGTCTTGATACATAAGTTGTTCGGGTTTTTTCACCTAAAAAAAGCGACATTAATTTCTTGACGACTTAATATTAACAGGAACAAGATAAATTTTTTTCTAACATTTCATTTTTTTAATTTGTGTAGGGAAGCACATTACACTAGGAGACTTGTATTATAAGACACAACGATTTGTAAGCATATTGAAAAAATGAATACTACGTTTCGATAGAGCATGTAGTATGCATTAAATTTGTTCATTATGCTTACCTATCGTTGTATCTTTATATATATATATATATATACAAGTAACATTTATTTATTCATATTTGTTACAGTTTTAAAAAAAAAAAACACCAACCCTTTTTTTTATACTTACTTTCAACTTTCAATCTAGGAATGTTGTCTCCTGGTATGAGAGGAGCGAAAGAAATGTTACTTGTAATAAGAGCAATAACATTTTTACTTACTACTCTCAATTTCCACTTCAATTTCTGTTTCCACTTCTTTACAATAGAAAAGCATCATGGATTTATCTTCTTTGGTACCAGTATCTAACATATTAACCATTTCCTTGTGAAAATATTTATTTTCACGTGTTAACAGTTCAGTGAATACGTCTTCATCTGTAATATTAAGTGCATTGCGTACAACATGCTGTATCCACATGATTCGAAGATCATTCATGTTTGATTTGTGACACTGGCAGGTGGTAGCAAATATCCTTAACTTTGTAGGAATGCAAAAATTGCTGCACTTGTAATTTAGCTTACATTCAGGGTAACTTGTAACGATTCACTTCTAAGTTCTAGTCCTATGGGAACGTGTACTGAATTTGAAGTACATTACACCAGAGTTGAAACACAAGAACAACCACGTTACAGAATTTACGTTCAAACTGGTGTTATGGTGTAACTGCAAATTCTGAAATTCGTTTCTCTTACATTATTAGTATTACATACTACGTTACTTCTCTATTGGGTCAGTTACGGATTCAATTACTGTGCTGCATCGTTCATCACAAAATCCAGCTGTTCTGCCTGTAACGTGAAGAATAAAAACATAATGACATACATTACATCTTTCTTCACTCCAGTTTTGCACCTAATAAACCTATAATTAAAATTGCATAAGTAACATATGTATTACACATTGGTATTTAACTTTAAGAAACAAGTTTCAAATATACTTCATTCATGTTCCTTGGAAGGTAAACATATTACGAATGTTTCTGTTATCCAAGTGATTTGTGTCTACTGGTAGTGACACCTAACGTTACTTTGATGATTGAATTTAATAAACTGTTAAAATATTAAAATAATAACATAAATTACCAAAACATTAGCTGAGATAAAACTTTAAACTCCAAATACTTATTGTCGACTTGATTTCTAAGTAAATTCAAAGTTTAATAATTCATAATAACATTCCACAATAAACACAGGTGATAATATAAGACTTACAGAAAACTACCAGTAGGTGACACTGTTCTTTGTTGTCATGGTAACCCAACGCCATTACAAACACACGTGCTCACTACGGACGACAGCTTGCATTGGATAGTCATAAAAACATAAATCACAACTTACTTCAACCAATAGAATAACACTGCACAAACCTATTATAACAACATAATAATAATAACAAAACTATCCCATTTATTATATGGTGAAGACTAACTCGAAAACACGAAATAGATATTAGTATTAGTTTCTATTAAATGTAAATAAAATAACGATATGTATTTTTATTGGCTCAATATTTCGCTATTACAGCTTCGTCAGAGGTATTTATATTAATACAATGTTTTGTAATAAACTCTAGTTTGCATTAAACAAAGAAGAATAATAGTATCAATAGTTGTTTTATTTTCATCGAAGGAACAAAAATTAAACAAATAGTAAGAAATATATAAGAAAAGTCCACCCAACAATAAAGCATTTACAAAATGCAATTCAACAAATATTGTGACTCTTACCTAAATGAAATGAGACGTAAGTTAAACGTGCGATTAAGCGAACACCAAAAATCTTCCTCTTCAATTATTTCTTTAAAAAATGAAAGAAAACAATCACAGTTTCATTCTTAGTTTCGTACATGTTCTCATGTGGTTTGACTGTCTTTTCATCGTTTCAAATTTCAAATGCAGTTTTTATAGTACACGAAGAAAATGGTGAAATGTGAGTAATACCAAGTTGCTTTGTTTTGTTGTTTTTAAAAGATATCACCCACTAAAGTCATTATTCGAGCTAAAGCAGAATTTTAGCTTTTGTTTTTCGCTCAAACTTTTTATGGTTAAATTTCACGTATTTTTGTGTGTTACATCAACCCAACATATGTATACTGCAATCATTATTGTTTAACTAGATTTCTAAAGAGAAGTAACTCATACAGGGAAGTAATATGCTGATCAGATATTGCAAGTATTACACACATTATCAAGTAAATTACATGAATTGGAAAGTGTTTTACCTTACAAGTTGGCAACGTGTGAGTAAATTTGTCCGTTTGTTGTTAAACACAAAGCTACACAATGGGCTATCTGTGCTATGCCTACCACGGGCATCGAAACGCGGTTTTTAGCGTTATTATCATTCAGACTTACTGCTAACCCATTTTGGGGTCGTGTGAGTAAGAACCGAAAGCAGAAATGACATAGGATGGCACTCTCTTCTGAGCTGAACTATGTGAAATGAACTCTGGGAATAGAGTGACTGTGTGAAGGGAAATATTTTATTTTACATTTATTTTTTAATCGGTGTTCTTTCTCATTCATTGTTAGTGTTGCATGCTTTCAGGAATAAATATTTATCTATAATTAAAAAGAAGTAAGTCACTGCTTCTTTTAAGTAAAAGCAGTTTGAATTCATTGTTTCACGTCATTAGCGCTAGGATTAGTACGTATCGTAAAATTTGCGAGACATGAAGTAAGGACTTGTTGTTCGTTAACGCTACGTGTTCACGCTAACTTTTTTAAGTTGCTTCCCTCAGTGGCAAATAATGGTGAAATATAGATTATTTTGAAAGCCATTTTAAAACAGATTTTATACTTTTGAAAAGAATCTTTCCAAAAATGAGCATATTGAATGCCCGTCTTCACATTCAGATCACTAATAAAAATAATACTTGCACCAATTGTTTATTACTGCTGGACAAAGAGTAGGATTACTAAAAATTTCGAATTTTCTTGAAAACTTCACGTGGCTCTAAAATTGGTGAACGAAACTTTTCAGACCTGTTTTGGAGGGACATAGGTTTTAGGATAAAGAAAAACATTTGTCATTTTTAACTCTAGAGAATAGTAATAAGCATGCGTATTTTATGGTTAATGAGCAAACTATATAAATAGAAAAGACTACAGTAGTTTTGTTTCCACCTTTTGTTATTTTGACTACAAAACTACCGTTTTGTTGAAAAATTACTTATTATCATAGTTATTATTTCAAAGGACATAATCCAGTGCTGGTTCCACGGGGCCCTTAAGAGCCATGCCCATCCAGTTTAGATCCTGTGCCCCATCAGTTTCAGATTACAAACTTATATAACAAATCTACAAGAAATTCAAATCCAAAACTAAGATAAACATAATAACAATAAATAGCTCAGACCATAAAGGTTTCTACTTCCTTAATAACAATACCAATAACCTAAAACAATATGGGAAAACTATTTTTCTGCGAATATTTTATAGGAATGTGCTGTCATATGATTTATTGATTAATGTACGGTGACGTGTAATAGTCGTGAATAAGAGTTAATTGATTTCTGTCATATTTTCCAAAATATGTTCCCCCCCAAAAAATGGGTGCCCCTATAGTGCACATGCAGCAGCGTGAGACTGACATAATATCAGTCGATCTCAAAAATATTATTTTCAATCTAAAGAACTCTGACAGAAAGTAACGCCCGCGATTAATCTTAAATTTAGTATATTAAAAATATGTCTGACAGTTCCTGCTAACATAATTTACATCTTAGCTTTTCCTATTCCCAATACGGTATATTAGCCCCGCTCACAAAAATAGCTATTCTCGTCCAGTGCTGCTCTCTATACGTAGAAAACTAATTTGCGCATGCCACAAGCATTGAATCTCCCACCCATTTGGAATTGACTGATTCCAATGCGTCTCGCATGCAAATCATCGTGAGACACATTTTCACCAATAAGAGTGCGACATACTCTCTTGACGCATGTGACTCCCTTTATTCTATTCTACGGAACTGTCACTTCTCGTTTGGCAGTACGTGTGTTAAAATGTTTTTTGTTTTGGTTTCTCTTCCTATGATTCAAATTCGTGACTTTTAATAGTTTAATTTCCGAAGTAGAATTTCTTCATTATTCTTTTTATCTTTACAGTGAAGAAGAATTTTTCAGTTAACTTAATTTCCCAGTCTTTTTTTTTCTCATTCGAATTTCTATACATCAAACACTTTTGTTTGATATATATTTCAAATATGAATTTTGAGGTTAATGTTACCCCTTCAGGTAACATACCTCCTATTACCACTATCTCACAAGCTGCAGGTGTGGGAAGACCCGTCTGAGGATTTAACTGTGATTATTGGTCGTGAGGCTGATCGTTATATGAGTCAACCTCCTTCTTCTGAACTTGCCCCACATCCTCCTGAATAAGTCTAAGCTGTTCGAGAGGATAATGATTTTGATAGCCTTTTTTCAAAAACCGGATTTTACCGAATCAGCTAGGCCTAATATAGCATTTGTAGACATGATTTCTCAGGTATGTGATGTTTTGTCCACTTTCCCGATTTCCTATGATCCCCATAATTTTTTGTTGCACGATGGTTCTTCATCTCATATTTGGTTTTCCCACCCTCCCGGGATATTAGGGTTCATGCTAAGCAATTTGCTTCACAATTGGTTGAGGGTACCAGCATACCTCGCCTTTCACAGGCTACAGATCAGTTTGAATTATCTTACCATCAGGTTGACTGTTCGTTTTACCACTCTCAGCAGTTGGGGTCGATTTTACCCGTGTGGGGGTGGTCCTTGATTTTCCTGTCCGTTTATCCCATGCCAAGTTTTCCCGCCTTCGTCTTACCCTTACTTCTCTTCTACTGTATTTATCTACTATCCATCTCCTTTCCTACAGCTCTTGTTTTGCACACATAGTTTCTCTGTTGTTGGGATCTCCTGGGTCAAGATGCAACCTTGTCCCAGGTTCGTTTACCTCCTCCTTATCTTAGGAATTTATGAATGGCCCATTTTCTTTGGTGGTATGTTTTAGTGATTTAAAAGACCTTATCTCCATCGACCCTGTCCATCATCTTTCTCACCAAGAAAACTGGAGACTGGCAGCCTGTAATAGATTTGTCCCACCTAATAATTTTCTCATTCTACCCCGTTTTACCATGAAGTCGGTTCTTACCCTCAGGTGGGGGTTTTCTCCAGGCTTGTGGATGCCCAAGGTTGACGTCGCGAATGCTTACTTGCATATCCCGATATATCGTCAGTTACAACCCTATTTTCGGTTTGTTCACCATGGGTTGGTTTATTAGTTTTGCACACTACCCTTCGGACTGGCTTC